CCTACTTATAATAAACAAGTGACCCGCCCTCGCTTCGCTTCGGTGTAGAGTTGTAGTGTAGACTATAGTTATTGTTCTCAGACTTGTATTATACTCAATGACTTTTTTCATAACATTATTATAAACCTTCCGTGAAAATTAACTTAACTGAAAGTGAAAATTTTGTTGCGTACTTTGGGACCCATTGTAACAAATGCACTGATGCTCCATTCATCCATTACCTTTGGTCCATGCCCTTATTATTGAATGTATCTAATGACGCAGTGGTTTGTACCTATCCTTCACTCTTAATAATTATTGCACTCATGATAACTTTTGAATGGTATGAAACTGAGGAATGGCCTTATGCAAAAAGTAATTTTATAAAAATTTAAGACTATATCAGTCTTGAATGTGAAGTGATTTGTTTGGATAAGAATTATTAATACCCGGGTACGAATAATATGGTCTAGTTTGTACCGGGGCATATTTTAACACGAATACGTAGTTAGATATACAAAATTACTAGTATCGTAAAGCTTTGAGTTTTTTTGTTTTTTTGGTTCAACGCGCAAATTTCATTAATTAATGGTCTCTTTTAAAAAGAAATATTGGATAGTGCATTTATCGAAAAAGGCTATAGGTTATATAACATCACGCTAGGGCCAGTAGGGCCAGTGCGCTGGGTTAACGGTTAAAGTCACACAAAAAGCATGTGTATCGGAATTGTTTCCCTTTAAAGGTTCTATTAAAAAGTCCGGGCCAGCACCATACGTCCATCGTTTAAGTTTGACTCATTAGCACCTTTTTCCTCAAATTAACGCGGGTGAAACTGCAGGGACAGACTTGTAGTTGTGACAGAACTGACACATGGTAATACGGACTTTTTTGTAGATATTGATGTCCTTTATACAATTTTAGTACATCACTTTGCTCTATTGTTAATGAATTCTGCAGCGTACGCAATATAAGGTTATTTTTTGGTATTTGTTTCACAAATTGGATTACATTATAGAAGTTTTCATACGGAACCCTAACTTTTTTGAAAATACTCCATAGCCTATGTTCATCAGGGATAATGTAGGATTCTAAATGTGAAAGAATTTTTCACATCGGTCCAGTGGTGGAGCCTATTCAATACAAACAAACAAACGATCAAATCTTTCCTCTTTATAATATTAGCATAGAAGAATGAAAAAAACCATTATGGCATTCGAAAATAGAACTCATTGGGATGTTTTTACTTTTTGGATCAACGGTGGATACCAAACGACTTAACGGAGGATCAGACACGACGCGTGTCCAGTGGTACAGTAAAATAATAAAAAGTTCAACGGAGAACAGTTTCATTGGTTGTCTATAATATGACAGGTGACGAAACCTGGGTGTACTACTTCGAAAGAAAAAGTGAGATTAGCGATGAAAAGTCGAAAACTTGTTACTTTTTTTCGGTAAATCAGGATATTACACGACAGTATCACTGGAAGATCAAAAGACAGTGACTACACTGACTGTAGTTAGTACGACAACACTTGCTTGCTCAGGGCATTAGACAAGTGAAAAGCATGCTCGAAGCCATGTTCCATGTATTCACCACGATAAATCATCCTCACATTCTGTTAAGGCAACAGAAGCTTATTTGAAAGCTACAAATGTGTAACTGATGACGCATCCGCATTACAGTCCGGATCTTGCAGCCTCTAACTTCTTTTTATTTCCAAAAGAAAATCTTAGATTTTCTTTCATTTACACGCGGTTTACGAGGGCAAGCTCGGCGTGAAACTGTTCCATGAAGCTATTGAAGAGGTCCTTAAGAAAGACAGGTCCAACTACTATTATGACTTATACAATGGTTTAGAATAATGTAATGCACTAATTGCGAGAAAGTACACTTTAAAAATTTAAAAAATCAAAAAACCCGACTGCTTATTTATACTTCAAATATAATATATTATATATACACTGAAAAGAAGAAAACAAGTCCAGTAGTCTATAATTCTGTTAATAAGGAACAAAGCTACTTTAACAGTATGTACTTACTAGCGAAAAATGGGTTATTTGTCATTATATTAAGTAAACCTTTTTTGTAACATTAAGTAATATCGTTAAAAAAATGAAAAACAGTAAAATTCTGAGTTTTTCATTAAATTTCAATAATCATAAATACCTATTATGATAATATATTTTTCATCATTTAATAAGAAGGAACTGTATCACAGTTTTATTGTTAGTGCTTCGTATAGGATCAGATACTGCGAATAGCCCATATTTTTTTTCTTTTACATAGTACACCGCGCTATTACTTTGTCATCGTTGTAACTTTTTAAATATTTGTCGAAATGACAAAGTGTAAAAAGCAAAGTTTATCGTCTTTAAATATCAAAAGCGATAAAAGTATTTGTTTTGATAAAAAATGATTTGTTAATACAAAATGTGCATTTTGGAAATAGATATAAAATAATATTTTAGTTTGGATTCACTATTTTCGCGGTAATGACTTACACATTAAAAATAGATATATGGTGTCACGGACTTTTTTTAGAACTATTTAAGAGATACATTTTCACTCTACATTACATTCATGTAACTTTTATTGTTTTTTCAGTGCAGGCCAAAATGGCTCGCAGATGGGAGATTTTTTTCCGTCTTATGTGACACTTATTGTTATATATTGGCCAATTCACTCAATAACTACATAAATTATTATATATATGTAATTATCTTATATGAGCTATATTACTGTTAAGTTTCATTCAAATCCATTCAGTATTTTTTAGGTGAAAGAGTAACAAAGATCCATACAAACGTAAGATTGAAATTAAAAGCGTAAGTGGTTAATATACAACTTTAAAGCGTTGTAGATCCTAAACAATCACATTAAATTAAAAATGGTGTTAGGAATCTAAATATGATTTTTGATTATCTAGACAGTGATTCCCCACTCGACATATTTTGTCAACTTATTTTTTTTACTTCGTCACAATATGGCGCCCAATTTACCCATATTGAATTTTGATTACTATCATATCTTTAGTAGCACTCCCATGATTGAGACGAATCGATTGATGTATGAATCATCAAAATTGGTCCAGGCGTTTGGTCTCTAGTGTGCCACAAAGGAACAAACATACATATATAGACTGTTAAACACATAACCCTGTCTGCGCGTCGCGCTTCGCGCTCTTGCATTGCGCAGCCGGGTAAGAAGTATAAATATTTCGTCTTAATTATCCGAATCCAGAATTTTTCAGTGCGCCTTGAGAATTGTCGTAATATTAAATGTAGGTTTTATTAATACAATTTCAATAGGTACTATTAAAGATAATCTCCTAAGTTATAAATACCACAGAGATAAAGGTCAGGTTAGACATATGTATCTATGTACTAATAATCTATTTATCGATTTTAATTTGATCTGCTCACGTCATTTAATTATATACTGTAATTTAATATTGCAACGACATCCAATAGTATTAATGTCATGTCCTGGGGGGGGGGGGGGGGGGGGCAAATGCTCAGCAGTGAGTATGACTTTAATATAAATAAATTTAACATTATAATACAATATTTAATTTATTTGCTAGTGCAGCTTAGTGACAACGAACAGCGCAGCAACAACGATTTAAGTGTTATTAATTTCTTCTATATTTTTTTCAATATATTCGTTCGTATTTAGGTGCTAAATATATTTTAACGAATCTACAAGATGGTCGAAAAACTGTAATAGGTACTAAAAAAACTTGACGGTAATTTCTTAAAAAATGTGATTATCGTCTGTTTTTTTGTCAATAGTTATTTACGAAATATGGAACCAAATGTAATGATCTTAACTAAATATCATCAAATAAGATAGATAACTATATGTTTGTTACGAAATGAGCTAAGGAGAAATAATTTCGAGGAACTGGTTAATGACTGTGGAATTACAAATGTTATCCGCGACAAACAATAGCCACTGTAATTTGTTAGTTCACCATTAATGAGTAAATATAGTGAATGCGACACGACCGATGTGATATCATTCAATTTTATACTGCTTTTGAAGTGACCCCAGATAACCCGAGCAAACTATCGAGCTCTCGTCTCCTAGATGCCATCCCCACACGATCTGCGGACTTCACTGACAAATGTTTACAAAGATTATGAAAATACAATTTTCCTATTTTCGGTTCTCCTTACATGCCAAAATCGAAAATTAAAATTCCCCAATCGTTAACTTTTGGTTGGGTAATTACCGACTGAACCGGGTGAGATAGATAGATAAATCGAAAAGATCTACGTTTTTTTTTATTTATTCTTATTTTGTTAATGTTGTATAAGCTGCGTTACAGGTACAAAGAAATTGCACATCAGCTACTATTTTCGTAGGTACAATCAGGGTGACTTTAAAATCTCAGAAGATCAATTGACTGGTCAATAAGGGTCGAGTTCACGGGGGGCCAGGGGCAACCTAATTGTTACATTAAGAGATCTAAAATTGTCAAAATGCTTTACATTATATTGTAGAGCGAAATGTAACAGTGCATACAAAGAAGAGTTGAACACACATCCACGTTTCTCGTGTTTGTACTTATGGACTCTGATAAGCATTATGCTATACCCATTCTAAGGGAAATTTACCGAGAAGTGGTCGTAATCAAACATAACAAAACAATGTTGTCTTGATAATAACGCTGGTTAAAGAGATAATGATAAATATAATTTGTGTTATAGAGTGTGACTATGAATCGAAGGCAACCCTGGTCAGGGCGCCGCCCACTCTTTTGATAATGACTCGATCCTCATCGCTGTCCTCCCTCTTATCACAGCCCTGTTGTTTTCTCATTCAACTTACACATTGTTTTGATGTATTCAGATCACAGATTTTAAAACGCCATTCCAACAGTTAACTATCACACAAGCTTACACGAAAAGTAGAGTGGAGCGATGGCGGGTAGTTCCACGGCGCCATACTTAATAAGAACCTCTCACAAAGAATGTGACATGGGTAATCCAACAAAAATACTTCTTTGTCAACTTGCCTTAGATTGTCGAAATTTAACTTGAGTCTCGTAATGGATAGGCCTAGTTCACGGAAGCTGTGCTCGGCGAAATCCGGCAGGCTCGAGTACGAGATGTCCAGTCCAATCTTTGTCTCCGGGCTGAATTTGTTGGTCAGCGCTCTCGCGATATCTTCATATGCATTGATTCGCTGACACACGACGAGGATGGCTCCGGTGCCTTTGTCCTCGCGACGGCAAGTGCAGGGTGAGATCTCCCTTCGCATCGCACAGTGGAGGCTGGCGCCCGCGCCGAGTTGTCCGGCCAGCGAGCACAGGAACGCCGCGGCGAGCGCATACGTGTGCGCGAACATCGTGTGTGCCGTTCAGTGCTGCGTGTGCTACTGGGCTGGCGAGCGCGCGCGAGTGGTGAGGAGGGCGGCGGTGGCGCGGGCGCAGCGCCGGCAGCGATGATGACGCGCCTAGCGCACCCCGCGCACCCACTACACCCCGGCCCACCCATCTGCACTCTGCACTTTATGCTTTTACACTTCCCGCCCACGTGCCAATATTGAAATTTTCGAAATAAGGCAAAACAGTGAAATAAATAGATCTGTGACTCACTTTTATCACAGTGGTTAAAGAAATCTTACTTTAGATATCGTTTCAGCCGATTTGTAAATAATGTATTGCATTTATATTTATATTTAAGATATTTTTTGTTCATATAACAGTTGTGCATTTGCGATAATTTATTCAACTATTTAATTACAGTCCTAATACTTATAATAATTATGACATTCATTCAAAGGTTTACTACTATTAGAAAATAATTATTATTACAAAATGAATTAGGTACTTATATGAATAGAGGCATTAATAAATAGCTTGTGTACCACATCGTATATACCTAGTATTAGTCGCTCTTATTTATTCAAATTTGGTGTCTCGTAACAGGATCTTAGATGCGCATAAGCACCTTCTATGTCTTATCAGTAGGCCAAGTTCATTCAGATAAGGCTGAACTTATTATCTAAGGTACTTTATATAATTTCACAATAACTGAAATCAAATATCACTCACAACTTTCTTTACTGGATCTAAATTTAATATAGTAAGTAGGCAGAGTTTCAAATACAAATTTCCAATGGCGAATTCCAAGTTTCAATGTGTTTGCTTAATTTTCTTTGTCGAGTTTTGCTTACTTAAAAATACTTACTTATCTAAATTAAGTAATTAGTCGAAAAAGTTCTAAAACGAAATACGCACGTTTAGCGCTTTATAAGGATACAAACTGAAAATTATGATTATGATGAAAAAATTATACCTACCCAGGTATAATTTTTGAACCTAACAACCTTTTGTATTATTATACTACTGTATTGTATTATATTTTTCTTATGAGACGGACAGTTTTTCGTAGAGTTTCACAACCAAATATAATAGGTAACTTTAAATAGTGCCGCTTCTGAATTCATTAAAACTCATCTTCTTTTTCGATATACCATAACACACCACTCGGAACATGGAAGGTATGGCAAACGCAAAATTTTTGGCGTTCGCTTGTGATGGCGAAAGGAACAAGACTGACCTTCCTTAAAAAACTTGGTCTGTTTTTACAGTCACAGAAGCAAATAACAAGTCTACAAACAAAAAAAAAATGGGTGCGTGTACTTATGTAGGCGCGTGAGAAGTTATCCTTCTTTGGCATCGTTTAAAATTAGTTTTTAATTGCATGCAAATAATTAATTACAATAAATTAATAAAAAGTCTGGAAAAGGACACAGTCAATAAAGTTCAGTTTTAATTTGAAAAAATAAATAAATAATCAAAATATTCAATTAAAATCGCTACTGAATATAATTTATTAGAACATATGTGATTTGTACTTGTATGAAACTCAAACACGTATTCCGAATATACAAACTAGAAACATGTGGATAAATATTATAAATATATTCATATTATAAATATATTCAAATTGACATACACACACTAAATTAATGAGTTGCCGCATTTTCGGAGCTGTTGTTTTTTGACAGCGCGGTATCTAGTCGAGTGAAGCGAGACCAATCATTTATCTATGGATTAACCCTTTTTTACAGAAAGATAACTTTATCTATTTGGCATTATTTTTTTTGCAATTACTGTGGTATTTGTGGTTACAGTGCTATTGAATGTTCAGTAGCGCGGGTTACAGCATAATTGCATAAAACATTCAAGTTATGTACCGTGTTTATTTATTACATTATAAACTTTGATTGGCGTTGTTTACAACATTTTAATTAAATATGGAGTTAAAGACAATGACTAGTTTAGCTACGAGTATTTATGCTCTTTTCGAAACAGTAGCTGTCTGTTGATCATGCGCATTTACAGCGTTTGCAACACGCGCTCGCGTCTTTTTGGCCGCGGCTCACCGCATCGCCCGTAGCACTCAGGAAGGTGTGACGTATTTGTTGTAACCATGTTTTGCTACCGAATCGAACTGAAATCATTTTGAAACGTAATAGTTATTATATTTTGTTATTAAAATTAAATTATGCTATCTTCTTAATAAATTTTCTTGATAAGCTTTGACCATTACTTACATTACAACTATTAAATTATATTTATTAATTTAGTTTTTATCCGTGCAGTGTCGGAAAAAGAATACAATTCACTGAGGTAAGGTGACGATTTCTCAAGCTGGTCGTCACGATGAATCGATCCTGCCTTTCAGTTGTGACCCGAGATCGTGGCCTTCCTTGGCGACGAACAAAGCCGCCAGTTTCTAAGTACCTCCGATAAACATTTCGGACCGTAGATCGACTTAAATTAAGTTGAGCACTCACGTTTCTTTGGCTGTGTCCGGCCTGAATAAGTGCCACAGCTTGGGCGGCGACTTCAGGTGAAGTATCCATAGATTATTGATAGAACCTCACCGTAATGTTAAGAATAAGTAATTTCTGTTGCAAAACCAAAGTTAACAATCACTTTTTCAAGAATTAAATCCAAGTAAACCAATAAAACCAAGTTTTCTTAGTATTCGATTGTTTGATATCAACAAACAGGCTCCAAATTGTCTTTTGTTTCTTTAAATTCTGTGTTCGAAATTCGAAAAAAGACTATTGAATGAAATTGTGAATGTGCCAGGTTCAAAACTGCATAAAAAAATGGTTGCCTGTAAAGTCGGTTTTACGGGCGAAGATTTTACGTGACAACGTCTTTTTCTCGGTAGAATATTTATTGATATGAATATAATTAAATTGCACAATAGGAACAAGGAATTGAATGAAAATAAGAATTGCACAAATTTTAACTATAGAAATATATTTTGTTTACTAAAACATTGTACATGTAAACTTAAACTCATCGTAACGTTACCGAGCGTTACACTTTTTCATAAGTGACTCCCAGCCGCAACCTAATTTAAGACGTTGTCACGTCAAAAACTTTTTGCTCGACCTAATATAAAATTTTAGCTAGGACCAAACGAAACTGAAAATACAAGGTGGGCTAATAGATGTGTCCAGAAGTGTATATGTACAGTATATGTATTTTCTCCGTTACCCTAGCATCCCATAACTCAAGCCTTACAGTGCTTACTTTGGGGCTAGGCTAATTGGTGTGTGTTGTAAAAAAGAAAAAAATTACAGGGACCTAAAGGCCAGTGCTGTTGACATTACGGAAGAGATTATCATGGGAATATTACATTCCACATTCTGATCTCATCAGTAAGGGTACACGCAACCGTTCGTTCAATCATGATTGTGCTGAAGTTAATTCACGTAAGCTGGCGGCATTTCTTGCTTGGATTAAAGATCCCGAGGTCGATTTACTAAAAGTAGCCTATATTGCTTCCAAGTCCTGCAAGAAGGCTTATATAAGAGTGTATGCACAGCGCTGACTAACTAACTGATAACGTTATTGGCATTTGGCGAAGGCTGTGCAGAACAACTACTGCTGTAATTTTGGCCAGTACGTATATTAGTACTTATAGAGATGATCATTGATCTATTAATTATAAAAATTCTTAGATCTCGTGCTCTACACGACTTAAAAGGTCATTGAAAATGAATCTAGCTATTATAGATTCTTCAATAAAAATTAAAATAAAAAGACAACTTTTCTAAAATATTTTTACATCATCTTACAGCCCTTCGAATTTCGCGTCTTTTAAGCTCTCATACGTCCTCGTGGCCGCACGCGAGCCGCCCGCCGCATGATATCGCACCTCGCGTCGCGCAATACTCACGGCTAAGGGCACCTCTACTGCCTCAACCGTCGCGTCGCCGTTATCGTGAAATGTGTATTGACCTAAAATTTTCCTTGGTTCAATACCGAAATGCTTATATTTTTGAAATTCGGCCCCGTTCTTGAGATATCGGAACTTTTCTGTGAATACACAAATGTAAATATACTCCTCTAAGTAAATAGTACCTTTAATATGTTATATTTATGTTCTTTTATGTGGTTAGTACACCTGCATAGATAGATATGGTACCTTTTCTTAGATTAAAACAAATTTTACATACACTTCAACATCGGAAAAAATATTTTGTTCGGTTTTGTTATTGATGGTCAAAAAATTTTTTAACTATTTATATATTTAGATATGTAGGTAAAATGATAATTTATTCGTTCTTTTTCTTCCAAAAATAAAGAAGCATAATTGTTTTATCAACTAAAAAAATAATTTATATGCTTTTGTATGTATATGCTTTTGCCTCTCGGTAATCAAATCATGCAAACATTTGACTTAATTAACGGCATCCGACTGTGCTTTGTAAATCAGATGACAATGCAATATTATTATAACATGGAGCTGACCTGATGCTGTAGTCTGGAGGCTTCCACTGTACCTATTTAATAAAACAACGCAACCATATCGTGTTGGGGTTCATTTTATTTTACTTGACAAAAATTTCACGAATATTTTGATCGCGAAACAAACACTGTCAATATTTAAAAAAAAGTTTACTAGAAAAAAATCTACGTGGACCAGGCAGCAGCATAATGGTCAGTGCATTCGCCCGGATAGCGAAGGGTGCGGGTTTTTTTTTCATATTTTTTTTATTCGATTATTTACAATATGTCTTTTTAATTATGTTATATTAATCAAATTTCAACATGTTTAATAATATACTGTTCGTGCTCGAGGCTGCCATTTGATACAGCCAGGGGCACGGACAGAAGTCTGAAAGAGGAAGCATAGAAGGATAGTAAAGATAAAAGTAGGTATACAAGAAAATAGGGAGGTGAAAAAAAAAGTAAAGAAAAGTTGAATCACATTAGTGGCGTTAAATACTACTCGTTTGCTTCGAGTTGGCCGTCGATAGCCAATCACAGGCACATCAACTGGTACCATCGTCCAATAAGGTCGACTAATAGGGACTGTCTAAGGTGCGGTATTCTGAAGCTGGGAGGGTAGAA